AATTTTGAAAAATTGACCCTTATGACTGGTTTTGTGCTCCAGGGTCACATACAATATAAAAACAATGTAGTTGAACAAAATACATTTACATTCAAAGGGCCCTTTGAAATCTTTTTCCCAAATTCCGTTTTATTTTGTTTCTGCATTTTCGGTTAAAATTTTTCTGTTACATTGTAATGATTTAATGAAATTTTAATAATCAGTATAATGTTTAATCACTAGGGTTTGGGTTTTTATTTAATATTTTAATAATTTAACAATTACAATTTTAGGGCCCTATGAAATATGAAAATTAATTGTTTTTTTGTTTTTGTTTTTTTTACTTCATACGAATTTATGATCAAAAGAATGCATAAAACTAATAATTAGATTGCTCATTTAAAATGTAAGCAAAAATCAAATCAATTTCTTTTTAATAAATTGAATTAAATTAAAACAAGGATAAAAAATTGTGGTATTACCATTTTATTATTACTTTTTACTTCTTAAGTACATCCTACTCTTAAACCAAACTTTTATTTTGTTGGAATGAAGTGAAGGTTTTTTTTTTTCTGTTTGAATATAGTTTTCACAAATGAAATGCAAAAGTGTCTTTCACAGCAGCGCTGGAGATCACATCACACACGTTATGCAGTAAATGCCATTTGTAGGCCTAGATGGAGTGGTTTCTGTGTTGCTGAGGTGTGCTGTGCTCACAGGTGCGTCAGGCTGCGTTTCAGTCGCTCGGTCCGTTCATCTCCACCTTCGCCAGCCCCAGCAGTAACACGGCTCAGTGCTTCAGAGACGAGCGCAGGTGAGACGAGAGGCTGATGCTGAGCTCTGAGACACACATCACTCACTCACTCACTCAGGTGTGTTTGACTCGTCCAGCTCAAGCGCAGACGCCGCTGATGGAGGAGAGCAGACGGCCGAGAGACTGAGCGCAGACGAGTCCTGCTGCCTTCCTTCATCAGACGAGATCCCGGAGCAGGAGCTCTTCAACTCCTTCCACTACTGGAGGACCCCCATCCCTCAGATCCAGCTGGAGCTGCTGCAGGAGGAGGACAGGCGGCCCTCGGCCCCGGCGCTGGGCAGAACACAGCTGCAGGAGCTCATCGAGAACCTGGAGCCGCACACCGACGACCCCGACGTCAAAGGTGAGCTGACCAGGATTTCAGAACTCCATTAAGCCAAAGTTTATGTAATCAGTTCATTGAGTTATATGTGAGCCTGCAGCACAAAAGCAGTGTTAAGTCGCTGGGGTATATTTGTAGCAATAGCCAACAATACATTGTATGGGTCAAAATTATAAAACATTCTTTAAAAACATTACAAGTCTTACTGATCCCAAACTTTTGAACGGTAGTGTACATTAAAATAGTAAAAATATGATTGTAATATACATGTTTATTTAATAATCAGTTAATTAAATTTAATAATCAACACTCTTAGATTTCACATAAGGCAGTTTTATATCAACTTTTTAATAATCTAATTATAAATAGTTTATACTCAGATTTGCTGTTGAAATATTATTATAAATATAAATAGACATTTAAACAATGTCTGTAATAAAAACATATTTTCATGATGACAGATTTTTCCATAATTTAGACAAAAAATATATAATAAATATGTAACCGTTTCACACCGTTGTGTGTGAAATAGACACTGATAGAGTCAAAGAAACCCTGATTCAACATCACTGTGACAGATGAGCACAGAAAGCCTTGAGTGACCTGACCCTAACCACTTAGATCTGCACTTCTGACGGACCGTGAGAGTCTCCTCGCCACAGCGAGACCTTCGTGTCTGGGGAAGGAAATGAGTTCAGGAAGCTGCTGAAACACCGAGCAGAAAAACAGAAGGAGTGACGCACAGAAACGGGCCTTTAGTGTGTTTGCGTCACATCTGAGGATTCTTCTGAACTGAGAAAGACTGAGCGCCTCTATCCTGGACAGCTGTCAAACCTTTAACATTTATCATCTAATTACATGATGTGCGATTAAATCGTAAATATCCACTGTATGAACTGTTGTATGAATCAGTGGAGCAGATATTGGGGAGAAACAGCACTCTTTCTGGTGTGATATTGCTGAACTATATCATATGATATGAATATAAGAGGGTGATTTTTGTGCTCATTTAACTACATTCTAATAGACTTCATCACGCAGTCGTCCTGCTTCATGATCATCAGCATCAGTGTGAGATGACGGACAGCTCTGGACAGGGGAAATCTGCTAATCATGTTATTATTTCATAAATAATCACACCTAATTAAGGTGTTAAATGGACAGTCCTAATACAGGACGGTGTTTATTATGAGTGTGTTCTGTGTCCAGCACAAGTGGACGTTCTGACAGCTGCTCTGAGAGCCACGGCGCTGGACTCTGGACTGGAAGATGCTTTCCTGGAGCCTCGAGCCGCTCGATCAAACCCCTCCGCTCGTTTCTGCACATTACAGAATTACAGATAGCAGTGTCTGTGTTTCTCATTCCTCGGGGGGTTTTTTCCTCCTGCTTTCTTTTTTCCTTCTTTCCTGTTTATTCATTCATACATTCTTTCCTTTGTATTATTTTCTGTTTATTTCTTTTTATTTGACTTTTGTGTTTTCTTCATTTCTTTGTCTGTCTTGGTTATTTAGAGACAGGCAGTCTGGCCAGTGGTCAGGCTCATTTCTGGATGATGATGATGATGATGATGATGATGTGTGTGTTGTTGGTCTTGCAGCTGCTGCATCAGGACACTCGGAGGAAGTATCTGTATCAGCTGCAGGAGTTCCTGGTGACGGATAACAGTCGTAACTGGAGGTTTCGCTCAGAGCTGGCTGAGTACGATCCTTCACACTTCTGAGTCGGAGTCTGTGTGTGTGTGTGTTCTGAACTGTGTGTGTGTGAGAATGTGTGTGTGTTCTGAACAGTGTGTGTGTGTGTTCTGACCAGTGTGTGTGTGTGTGTGTGTGTGTGTGTAACAGGCAGCTGGTGCTGCTGCTGGAGCTGTACAGCGCTCAGGACGTCCATGATTATCTGCGGCCGCTGGCACTCTGTCTCTGTACTGACCGCGTGTCGTCTGTGCGCTGGACCTCCTACAGACTGGTACTGACACCAAACACTCCGCCTGCTTGCTCACTTGCTTTATTTTTCTGTCTGTCTGTCTTTTTCCTTCATTTTTCTTTTCTTTATTTTTCCTCCTTTTTTTAGTAATTTTTTTGTTTGTTTTTTTTACTTTTTACTTATTTTTATTCATTCATTAATTTTCATGATTTTATCATTTTCATCATTTTTTTATTTTGTAATTTTTAAAAACTTTTTTCACTTATATATTTTTTCTTTTCTTTTAATCTATTTTCTTTCCCTTTTTTCTTTTTTCCATTTATTTTGTCTTTCCTTTTTATTTATTCTTTT